GGCGTACGAGGGGCCGAAGCCAACTGCGCAGAGGCCCTTTAGACAACTTTAATATAAATGTAATGGACACACAAACCGGCGACTATCCCTGTATGCACTATGGAAATGCACCCAAGGACAGTCCCCGGTTAGTGTAGGACTATTGTGAATAATGGAAAAAAAAAGGTAGGGCTATGGATGGGTTGCTGTGGACTGGTAAATTGGGAACTATGGATGACTATGGCACCTGCCGAAACAATGTAATTTTTACACGTAAAAATGGCAGGCGGAGACTCGCCAACTCACCAACCGGGCCCCGGGAATGGTTGCTAGATATAGCAACAAAGGGGCAACGAGAATGTGAGTGGCTGAAGGGTTAAGAAACTACCACCGCTTTCTACTCAGATCATCTGCTCCAGCCGAAGCCTCCTGCATCCCTGGCCCACTCGCGACTTACGAATAGTTTCTTACCCTCCGAGCAGGATCACTGCTCTCGCGACTCCACTCTGGACGGCCAATGAAGGCAAGCCAGAGGTGGGAGACCTGTTCCTTGTCATCTTTCACTCCAGCCAGCCAATTAAGGCAAGCCGGAGAAGAAGGAACGGTGACTTCTCCCTGGAGCACTCGGGATGATGGTAGCCCGCGGGATCGCTAATGCCCGTCACCTCGCCTCAAGGTGCCCTGCGGGCTTATTATTATTATTATTATAACTTGTGTAAAAAACGTTATTCATTCATTTTAGTTCGCTAAACCAACACTTATTAACTGTTTCCAACATAAGTCAGAATGGCACACAAAAGGATAGAAATAAATGTATTTAACTGAATAAAGGTGAGTTTGTGGGCGGAGTGTGGCTAACTAATCCGAAGCTTACATATCTCGATAAATTGTCACATGGAGCGCCGGCGGCGTCATGATGAGTCGCCGGGTCTATCGGACCGAGTGTCTCGGAAGAATTGATTGAAAGTTAACGCGACGTGATTAGTGGCCGCTGGTCTCAGAGACCCCGACACTAAAATAATAGCCGGCGACCTTGCTTTATGGACCGAAATCGATCATTAATGAAGAAATTGTGACGTGACCACGTTTCATTTACCAACTGAATTAAATGAAGATTTTAGGAAAAATAATAATACCGTACAAATATTTACAATACTCATTTTAAAATGTTTTTACGTATGAACATAAAGAACACAATTTCAATTTCAATAAGCCGCGTGTAACTTTTCGGTGAAATTGAATTCATTACGTTAATTGTCTGCCAAAATGGATGACTGTCTGCATGAACGACGAGACGCTACATGTGACGCACTCGATTGAGCGCACACAATACATTATGGCGACACAATATTTGTGTTCGTAAAAATAAAACAAATTTTACGGATGCCTTTTTAATAAGAACGATTTGATTCTGCATTGTATATGAATTTTCGTTACACATCCTATCTGATAATTTCTTTTATTCAGAAACTACAACATAAATAGCTCCACGGTTTTCTTGTAGGTATTATGAATAAATAAAATAAATATTATGTCATTAAACAATGACAGCCACCTGATCCCAAACTAGGATTTAAGGAACCTGCTGGAGGTATACTTTACGAATAACATTTACAGCGTCACGGGCCGTCCCTCATCAAAAAACCCTCATCACCCGTTACAAAACCGAGCAAATAATCCGAGACCACTTGTGGTTACAATAAATATGATATTGTGTGTAGTTTATGTGCGCCTAGTAACCAGACATGATAAAGGTTTACGGTTTGTGTGGACCGTAATGAATCATAAACAAAATTACCTCAGGACGACAATGAGATTTGATTATTTCAATTTTATTCGGAGGCAATAAAAACAAATCATGCCTTTGTGTGGATACGCGACGAAGGCACAAACAAAATAAATTGGCTTGCGGTCTACGGCCCCGTATATTGTATGATTAAAATGTAAAACAGTTTTCTTTTGGAAAAAATGTTCGTATAAAAACTTGGGCAGATTTACATAGGAAAGTTGTAGCTTGTCGATGTCTCGGGACACGGAGAAGTTCACATGTTGTACTCCGCCGGGGACTGGAGGCTAACGAGAGTTCAATACAACATAAGTATGAATCAATTTATCAACATCCGCGGCTGACGGGAGATTTTGTGAAATTCTCGAACAGTCGAGTCGACTGGGGCAAGTTCTTGTCACATAATAAAGGTCGACTGAGCCGATAATAAAGTATTCTTATTTTTACGCCATTAACCCGCTCGTGTGTGGATGATGATAAAAGTTACTTTAGCATCGTTCAAAAGCGATTTTTAAGTGGCATAACGATACTATAAAGGGGTTGGTGAAAGCCCTCCGCTATTCACAAATAATAATAAAGAGGCTCCGAAACTGGAATGTTTACAAAAACATTTACGTGGCCGTGTATTCATTTCGCATGAACAACATACTAACAGCGATTACATTATACTCGCAGGTAGATTGCTTCATCTTGTTAATAACGCTATGAATATATTCTGTATTGCCAGCATATTATCACGATAAATTAAACGACAAAAATGGAGTGCACAACGGTCTGTATTCAATTATATTCATAAGTATATACCTAATTATCCTAATGCAAATATCTAACCCGATGAAGATCATCTAGCGCAGCCCAACTCTATCGATAACAAGTTTCAGTCATTTGCACTGGAACATAGAAGAATATTACATTCCCCACGAAATAAGATACATGTCCATCTGGATAAATGTATATATGCGTGTATTGTTGGGGTGCAATCTGGACCAGTCACGTTGCCATGCAAACTGTCGTGTGAGCAGCGCCGGTTCATTTAGATAGATTTATCTATGCGCAGTACGGGCCGCACCACTGCACTGCAATTGAAGGTATTTTGTAATGTGTTGTGCTACTGGACGTCATGTAAGAACAAAAAGTACGAAGTTGCGAAAGAACTGACAAAATAAAGAGCAACTATAAGATATCACTGTCTCATTGTTCGAGTAGACGCAAGTCCACATATTAAAGTTCCCTCATTTGTAACAATTCATATCAAAGTTACTGCATGCTCCCGTACTTATGTATGATACCTTTTATGAACGAATTAACTCCTGTCCACATTTTAGAATAAGCATTTTCACAACGAGCGCCATAATTATTTAAGTCGAGTTTTGGCTTCAAAAAAGCGGTTAACAACATAATCCCCTGAATAAATAATGATTAGCTTTGAGCATACGACTGGATGTTAAACATTACATTTGCATGATACGTGTCTTTACGTGGCGGCGTTAACGAAGGCAAACAAGTAGCTAATTATGTGTGTAGTGCACTTGTTTACAACTAAGTACGTGTCGCCAACAAAAGGTAATTACCAGGGCATCATAACGAGGGAGGCGGCTCACACGCGACACTTACTGCTCTGCATGTCAATTAAGTAAAGTTTCGCAATACGGTCGCGACATGCGGAGCCGCCTGCTAACCGATAATGAGTCGGTGGCGGTAGCCCAGTCTGTACCTACAGGGAACTTTCCATAACAATAGCAATTTTTGTCAATCCAATTCTGTCGCAACGTATTTTAACGTTCAATACAAAAACATTGGACCCGCTTCAATATCGAGGGCCCGTTTTAAGGTTGAATAAAATTAAAATAATGATGATAAATACTGGGAAACCATAAAACGGTGGGTTAGTGAAGGCGATCCATCACGAGCCGCTCCTCAATTACACCGGGACACGGTGACTGATGACAACCCGCCGGGACGTCACGCCACTCATGAAAAATATGCACTGGAAACTTCAGGCAACTTCACAAACGTGTAGAATCCGACATATTTGATTAATGCCTCGATATCTGAACGTATCCAGATACTCTCCTTGAGTGGAGCAGTAGTGGTGGGAAATACACATATTTATAAAGGCTATCTGGTAGAAACGTTTATTGGTATGTAAACATAGTATAGAAGTTTTCAAGTATTTTAGTTTTAACTAGAACTATGTATGTTTTTTCTACGAAGCGAGCTCACAAACTCACAACGAATAAAGACCATAAGTTAAAAAAGTGACCAAAAAGTTTTAAAATAAAGATAGAAATAAACAAATCGTAATTCTGTTATCTTTCGCAAACGACATTTTCGATACATTTCATAATCAGTACGTCAAACTTGGCCTGCTTGCTTGAGAAGTAATGTCACCGCGGGACTCGCGACGTGTGCTGAACAATCCATCCATAATACTTGACGTTGAATGCTTTACGTTTTTTACCCGACGAGGGACGTCGCCGAGCAAATTGAAGCTTTTAGAGCAATTTTCAAAGACAAAGTGACACATAGACGAATGTTTTGCCAGGAAATTGACTGACAGGAGCTTCGCGCGAGTATTAGAACTTGGAACACGGCATAATTGAATCTCAATCATCTACAGGGTCTGACGGCGATCCGCGTTTGACCGTGTCGGTAGTAGGCGGCTCCAGGTTTATGATGCACGCGGGAGCAGGCAACCCGCCAAAATAACAGCGAGCCGGCGCCAAGATTCAATTTGCAGTGCACTCCTGCCGCCCTGGTAGCTCGGTTAAAACTTGCCAAATTGGACAATCGCCGTATGAAAACTGAACTGGGTTTCAGCCGCTATTTGTGAATTTTATTCAATTCAATTCTCGAGGCAGCAATATTTTTCCTTTATTTTTGATTGACTACAGCTATTCGAGATCATACGTTAACGCTGCATACTTTGTGGCTGGGTATACCTAACTTAAAAAGTTCAACACAAGTTTCTAAAAATTTAAAATAAAACTCAAACTTAAATTATAAGAATACGTCAAGCAGGTTATTAAACAACAACAATCTATGAAGCTTTCAGTTTATACAAGAGCCAGTGGAAGGCTGTAAGGAAACTTTGTGTATAAACGTTAAAATTTAATTACCATCCGCAAAATACGTAAACAATAAACATACTTCCAAAATATTTGATATTTACTTACGCGAAATATAACCCAGTTATTACACTCCCCGGCTACTTCCCATCGAACAGACGAAATTATTAATATCCCCGCAAATGCCAGCGGAATGATACTCCATGGAACAATAAACTGAACTCACGGTTAACGGAGGTAAGGTTCATTTTGAAGAAACTATTTGGATAGCCCGCATTTAATTTTGAAGGAGCTTTAATTTCAATAGTCTCATAATATTGCAATCCTATTTTAATTGCTGAGATACGAACGCCTCTCGAATTTACATCAAATATTGTTGACTGCGGTGTAACAACATAAATTACAATATTAATCGTGCCCCTTATCCTCGCTCCAAATAAGTAGGTATTGTTATCAAACCGGAGGCTGCTTTGATTTAGCACGTAACTCAGTGCATGCATAGTTGTGATATTTGCGAGAGATAAACAAGGGTCGTGTGTAAGTGCAGAGTGCACAGTCATGAAACACAATACTAGCGCGGCAATGCAAATACTAGTCGTGTCAATACAATCGCGGCGCAACACTACAACCCGCCGTCACCGATGCAACCGCCACAAAAGCTTTTTCACACATCATTAACTATCGATGCACACACACCAACTCCTATTTGTAATACTAAAAGGAATCGCGGTTAAAAGGAATATTAATGCAGCCAAAACGATACGATATTCCTTACATACAGAGTTTTAAAGGATTGAGGAAAAAGTACAAGAAAACTGTAGAGAGAGACAAGAAATGTCATCAATCTCGTTTCTTTTCACTTAGTTGTACTGTTTGTGTGAGTGGCGCGCGAGACGAGGCTGGTGGCTGGTGGCAGGCCGCCAAACTGTGCCTGCACTGAGTCGAAACAAATTCCAATGTTACGATACATTATAAATTGTATTCATTACATATTACGCGGCCTGCGGAGAATAATATAGTTAGTTGATTCTGTATTAACAATTTAAATATTGTTGTTACGCACCGAAGTGAAGTGAGGGACGATATGATTGGAAGACTCTTTCCTCATGAGTACGCCTCGATCATCAAGTATGTAATTTCCGGGATAGTAGGAGGCGAGTAAACAATGGACGAGTAGGCCTACAACCAGTAGTCGGATCAAGTGGAGCCACTCAGATGTTGGTGGACAGTGTATGGGAGGGAGCTAACTAGGGGCCAGTTAATAGGCACTCGTCGGTGGCGCTCCCTCGCTCGCGCGGGAGTTATTCATTTGTTCCACAAATACAACTCGACGGCTTACATTTAAGAAGTGACAGTACCTGATACACTTTGTTTTTATTACCGTGTGACACTCCAACAGAGTCGATTGGGTACGTGTCAAATGATCAACTACAACCATATACATTACCAGTCGTACCATAGATTTCAGATGATAGAAGCAAGGAAGGTTTAATTACCTGAAAACAAGAAAAACAATAATCAGTCTAACAAGTAAACAAAATAGATAGCAGACTTTGGAAAACATTTCTATTAAAACCGATAAACAGACAGCAAGTACCAAGATAACATAAGTAACAAGATGTATTATGTATAACATTGAGAAAGTTTGACAAGTTATGATAAGTTTATGTAGGTGTTCCGCACCGGTCCGGTCCGCGCCGGTTTCTGCCGGTCATCATAACAATCTATTGACCGGAGATTGGAGGTCGGGATTGAGATTTTCTTGCATCCCTCCGACCCTTCTTACATTTGTGTGGTATCATTATGCAATGACCCAAACAAATTCTGATATGATCCTAGTATCTTCTCGTGTGAGAGCATTACGTATGTTTGTGGTTCGTATTTGTTTTTTACGAATGAGTTTTACCAGTCTCATTATCAGTAAATAAACAGAACAGATGATGTTTTCAATCAAATCAATTTAATGACAAAATTGTAAGTTATTTCACACTTTAATCCCATAAATTCTCTAGCTTCCCTATATAGTGAACTTGTTGTGACCGCATATTTCAGCGTCACACACGGGTGGGAACGATGTTAATTATGAAAGCTCGGCTGGGAGCGAGTGGCGACTACTCCACAACTGTGCAGCGGAGATTCGGGCACGTCGTAAAGACGAGCAGAATCAATACGCAATCAAACTGTCGGCCGCAGAGTTAGCTGCAAATATTTTCCTATTCACAATTGTGGAAGTTGCCGGGCTAGAGAGGGGGGGGAGGTGCGGCGTAATTTGATTTCGAGTAACGCCCTAAATTATTTACCATTTCCATTTCTGGCTCCAACGCCTCCGCCTCCATTAGATTTGCACTCTCTACTATTGTGGAGCTGCTTAATTTAGATGATTCGCTTTGATCGTATTTTGATTCATTTTGGTGACCTTTCTCTTGATCACGATAGCTTTCAGCTTGTATTACGCTGACATATATATTTGCTTTGGATACTGCGCGATCAATACTTTCTGTTTTATTTACTCTTTACTTTTAGGGCGGTCAACAAAACTATGATATGCGTTACAAAATGCTTTTATTTATCAGGGCCGAAAAATAATGACAGATAATGAGAACACAAGAATTATGTTCTGAAAAGTGTTCCTAAGAGAAACATCCGCAGCACAGTTATAACCCTGAGCTCGGCCTACGAGTCATACAACTTACAACTCCTAACTTGGTCCTTTGACGCGAAGTTTATTTACATTCCTCTTGGAAGTACTGTACTTTGTTCCAACTTTTTATAATCCTAGCTTCTTGGGCTGCCAAGAGTTTTTATTTCCATGTAAACCAAAGTACAAGGTGTCATTTCTCATTTATTACACAACGATATTCTTTCCTATTTAAAATGTATTGTTTGGTTACACCGCGGAAAACTTAAAATATGTTAATGATGTTTCAAACGTTATTATACCGAAAATACCGTTACTCCCACACAACGGTTATACTTCAATAACAACAGAATCCTCTCGACACCCAATAATAAGTTCAAGGGTCAGGGCAACGCTTTTAAAAATATTTATAAAGTACCAAAGTCATTTATAAAGAGTTACAAATACTTTTTTATGAATCAACCAGTTCAGATTATACAATAATTATAGGGTTGTATTTAACATTAAGTAAGACAAAGATTAGGAATACAAAGTGTATTGTGCTGGTTCATTGCCAGCCGGTGCGCGAGTACCAGGGCAGCATGAAGCAGCAGAGCGCAATTACGGCGAACAAAGGGACAAACATTTGTAAACTGTATAAAGGCGGCAGCAGAGCTCTAATGTCACCTATTTATTTACTTCGGTGGCACGAGGCGCTTGGGCGCCGGGCGTCGCGCGGCGCCTCCGCTGCCACTCCGATTTCCCATGGGCTCCCATTATTAATACTTCGATTCCAAATGGATTTATTTTCAATATAAGAGGGATTCAATAGTACATGACTTATATGTTATCGGAAATAGCTGTCAAAATGTTCCTGACACGTATCTCTCCTTTGCAGGCACTCGAACCCGCACATGTGTGTGTTTAATGAGCGACAGGTCGATTATTGTCATGACTGAGTGACTCACAACTCTCTCATATAAAGATGTACCCTGGACAGTTTCATACTAAGTTAATCAATTGATCAATGAAATAATTGTTTCCATACGTTGCACTATCAGAAACATTGAAATTTTTAATTGAACAGCCAATCACCAACGTTGAAAAAGTAAAATTCTTGTTATTGCAATTAATACTCGTAGTTTCAATTGTATGTCAAAAATAGTGCATGCAACAATATTTCATATTTACCAAAATTTTACATCACAACAGATAGGTAGACTGTGCTACAAAGATAGGTCAAATCTGGTCACTCTATAGCAGCTTGTTACATTACCGACTACTTAAGGCACGTTAGGGAAGTTATTTCCAAGTTGAGTAAAAGGGCATGAAGTTTCCGCAAAGTCACTTTGTAAAAACAGCCCCGTGGCCCGCGGCGGCAAGCGGAAACTCACCAGACAAAAAGCTGAATCATTCCATATCCGATATGAAATAACAAACAATTTGTTTGACATTTGATCCAAAACAGAACACCGATCTCTTCTAATATCTCCCTCACCGGATATATACAATCTGTAATTAGTTTTTTCTTAAGTATGCAGAGCATTTCGGAATAATACTTCACAAAATAAGAGTGCCTATTTCAAGTTGTCGAAATCTTCACATCTGTAATTAAATTAATGCACGTGTTATATTACATTGAGTGACCAATAACTTGTTTTTTATTAAAATATGTCCCTCACCAGGATTTTCTTCTTGTACATTTGTAAATGCAGCATTTACAAACGTACAAGTTCCCATACACATGACTCCCAGACCCGAAACAACGTTTTGTGGATCACACAAAGAGTTGCTCCGTGCGGGAATCGAACCCGCTACACGTTGTGCGGCAGCCTGTTGCCCGGCTACCGCGCCAACCGTGCAGTCGAAACCACTACCACTACGATGTAAATTATAAAACACAATGTTGTGCTAATCAAACTTGTTTGTGACGACACTCGTGTACACATTTGTTAGTCGCGAAAATTCTAAATAGAATGTTTCTATACAGCGAAAACGCTGCTAAATTAACGTGACATACTACACAAATATTTACACCGCGCTACACTGTACACAGCAACATGGCATGTAAAAGCTGGTTAATCTGCGTTCGTGTCGCGAGCAGGATCATCAGTCTACAAAGATAATATAATAATTGGTGAAGTTATGAAGGAAATGTTCTTACAAGATTCCAGAGAGATGCCGGCGGCAGGTCGCGGCTCACAACTTGCCGACAACTAGTTAACATTCCAAGTGCGACAATAAATTGCGAGAATACCGCGCGACACAACTACCCGCGCGGGTACTGACGCTTACGGACGGGGCTCGGCTTCGCTGACATTATTGTTATTTAGCAAAGTGGACCAGATATCTACTCATGCATGGGAATAATGAGTTGATGACTGCTTCCAACAATAAAAGCCACTATAACATATTGCGTACCACTTATACATAGGTACATGTAGATACATAAATATGTATACGCGTTCACATTCCCATATCTCTCATGCAAAATCACCCTGAGTCATGCCAAATGGTTCAGCCAGTGCGCCCATTCAACCGTCTACATTATTGGATATAGCCAGCGGCTAAATAAACTGCCCGCGGCTACGCCGCAAACTGGATGTATCTCTATATTTAGACAATAAACGTGTACACAAACTAATTTTGAATAACAAAGTTTGGCCGTAATATATAAACATAACCAACATAAAAATGTCGAGCCATGTTCCACCACATTGTATAAAACATCATTCGTCGCGTCTGGTTCCATTCACTTTTTACCGACTTCAAAAAAAGGAGGAGGTACTATGTTCGGCTGATTGTTTTTTTTTTTTTTTTTTTTTTTTTTGTTTGTTCGCGCAGTACTCCGCCGTTTGTGGACCGATTTCGAAAATTTTTGTTTTGTTTGAAAGGGTGTACTCCCGAGATGGTCCCATTTCCATGAAGTCAGGATCTGATGAT